AAAAAAATGTTCATTCCGCCATGGTTACTTTTTGTTTGTCTCGATGAACTGCTCATATTGTGCTCTGTGGGTGTGTTGCTCACTTAGTCCACGCAGAATTCATCGTTTTTGGCAATCTAAGCAAAGTAGACAACAGTGTGGCCGGTGTGGCCCGAAAGAAAGCAGGAGGGAGGAGATGATATTACACAAGAAAATGTGATGATGAATGATGATGGTGATGATTGTGGTGATGTTGATGGTGATAAATGTTGGTCAAAGGTCACATATCCACAATTTGATGTTGTTTCCCCTTCAGGAGGTTTGCTCCACGGCTGGCGCCTGGGCAACAGTCAGAATCGTACCGTACCACCGTACCACCGTACCACCGTACCACCGTACCACCGTACCACCGTACCACCGTACCACCGTACCACCGTACCACCGTACCACCGTACCGTACCTGGTTTCACTTGTACCCACTTGTAGGATGTTGACTGTACCCAATACTTAAAATGAATTGGTACGGCCAACACCCTACAAGTACGTACAAGTGAAAGTGGGTACAGTACGATGGTACAGTACGATGGTACGGTACGATGGTACGTTAGACAGTACAATGGTACAATGGCGTAGTACGATATGTATGGGTATGTAGTGTTGCGGCGCGATGCCGTGGTACGGGTAATTTGCGAATGGCTGAGTGTAGGAGATTCTGCTTGCCTGCTTGTGTTTTCATGTGTCATGTGCAGCCAACGGCCAGAGCTGGGGTCATCAAGAAACCAGGCCGGAAGCAGAACAAACATATTCAATGGTTGGTGGTTGGTACAGTAACCCATGGTTTCACCCCTGCAATGGTATATTTCAGCCTGCCTCACTCTTGTTTGACGCTTAGACTTGCGCGCCGGTATAGTGAAAAGTATGTCCTAATGTGTCATTGAAGTCTTTGACATGAAAGTGGGATGTTTTTCGCACAACATGTCAACCCTATATATCACTGCTGATGCAATACTAAGATTGGATCGCACCGTCAACCCTCTGCCCCGAATCGGTTTTCTCTTGTGGTGCCCATTGCCTTCAACTGCATGGTTTTGTGTAAGGGTATGTTTGTTTGCATTGTTTTGTGGTCTGGGGTACTGTTGGTCAGAGCTTTCTTCTTCGTTTCAAAACAGTTGGACTCCTTTTGAAACACACCAATAATCTCACAAGTTGCCCCCATAGGAAGGCCAACTTCACTGCTGATATCCCCTTGGAACACTGGGAAGAGCATCTCAAGGAAAAGGTTTGGCCGCGATTTAAAAAACCTGCCCTGAAACAAAAATGCCCCGAGAGATTTTGGTTTCTTTGGAGCAAATTGTATTATATAGTTTTCTATAGTTTTCTTACTTGATTTCAAATTGTTGAACCCAATGTTTGCCAAAACCTTGCAACCAGAAAGAAACAAGGAGGAACGTGCATAGGTCATGTGCTTCAGGGTAACAATATTGACACGAAAGCAACCCTCATATACAGTATATATATAATACATTATAATACATCTATAATACAATAAAGCACACTGGACTCCTTGTCTGCGACATCGTGCTCCGGTTGTCAAAGCCTATGAGGTGTTCATTTTTTTGCTGTCCATCCAATACCAAACAAATCCACCAAAGTTACAGTTAAGTTTGCTTGGAATACATTTGCATGTCTGCTTTTGCCGATGCCAAAAAAATCATGGACATCAAATGAACATCAACTCTGCAAACTTGAGAGTTTAAATGTTTCTCAGAAAAATCAAGCTATATTGGTTTCACGCGTGTGACTCCGAAACATACCGAAACAAATAATAAGGAATTTATAAAATCTAATTTTTGGACCTTTTCGTTTAACCATTCTCTTACTTGGTTTTGGACGTTGTGCAACTTAGAAAAATTATGAAAAATATATAACTATTACAGGTAGATGGTTGTGACTTTGCACACATGAACCTGAATTACAACTTACCATGGTGCCACACCAGTAAAACATCCCATGGTTCACCAGTATACTATCGCAAAACATGACAGGCACCATCGACCAGTGCAGCCACACCATCACACCACCTCAACCTCATGGTGCATGCAGTTGCGTACCATCGCAAACAATCGCATACCATCATACCGTACCATCGCACCATCGTACCATACCATCACACCATCGCACCGTACCATCGCACCATCGCACCGTACCATCGCACCGTACCATCGCACCATCGCACCGTACCATCGCACCATCGCAGCGTACCATCGCACCATCGCACCGTACCATCGCACCATCGCACCGTACCATCGCACCGTACCATTGCACCATTGCACCGCACCATCGCACCGTCGCACCAAGCATCGTACGTACCTGACTTGTTTCGATTCTTTCAAAACGCAGTTACACCTATATTGAACTTAGATAAGAGAGAAGCTACAGAAGAGGTCACTCAGAGAAGAGGTAGCTGAGAGAGAGGGGGACACAGAGAGAGAGAGAGAGACAAAGAGATAGCTCAGAGCAGAAGCGGGCCAGAGAAGAAGAAGAGGCACCTCAGCGAAGAGGTTGCACAGCGAAGATGTTGCCCAGGGAAAAACAAAGGAATCGGCTGACTCACCGCCCTGCAACTGTCGACATCTCTTTTCCTTCATTCTCAAGATGAAATGCTGGAAACCCAGTGTTTTTCCCCAACAGCGTAAGCTAATGGGGTCTTCAGCCCAGAATAGCTCCGGTGTGCACTGGTGCAGGCACCGGGTCAGGTTCAACGAGGTTCTGGAGAAGGTTCCGAAGGTTCCGGAGAAGGTCTGGGAGGCTTTGGTGCAGAGTGAGGTCACGTAAGGCTTTGGTGCAAAGCCAGCTCAGGTTCAACAGGGTTCCAGAGAAGGTTCCGGAGAAGGTCTGGGAGGCTTTGGTGCAAAGCCAGGTCAGGTTCAACAGGGTTCCGGAGAAGGTTCCGGAGAAGGTCTGGGAGGCTTCGGTGCAGAGCCAGGTCAAGTTCAACAGGGTTCCGGAGAAGGTTCTGGAGAAGGTTCCGGTGAAGGTCTGGAAGGCTTTTGTGCAGAGCCAGGTCAGGTTCAACAGGGTTCCGGTGAAGGTTCCGGAGAAGGTTCCGGAGAAGGTTCCGGAGAAGGTTCCGGGAGGCTTGGGTGCAGAGCCAGGTCAGGTTCAACAGGGTTCCGGAGAAGGTTCTGGAGAAGGTCTGGGAGGCTTGGGTGCAGAGCCAGGTCAGGTTAAACAGGATTTGCGGCCATTTAATTCGCGGAAACCTAGCTGAAGTGTTTCCAGCGCTTGGCTTCGCAGCACGCTTCAGAAAGATTTGTTAAAATACAACGTTGCGGCTGTTGGGGATACCAGCGAAGCTTATTTACATTTTTCATCTTTCGAAGTCATTTTAGAAAGATTTAGAAAGTATCATTTTGTACTGCGTGGGCCAATTCAAAATGAAGGAGCTGGTATTTCGTGCAGGCGAAACTATCATGTTTTGATCACGTTGGGAAAAAGTTGCCTGTTGATCTAACAAATGACATGCCCAAACGGCCTAGAAGCATCTTTTCTCAACTCTGCCACAAGCATCCGGGAAGTTCTTCCGAGATGGAACTTGTGATGGAAGCCTCCACTGGAAGGTATGTGCAAGCGTAGCAACTTTTAGAAGCATTAAACAGATGCTTGCGTACATTAAAAACATGTGCAGGCGTAGCAACATATCAAACAGATGCTAGCGTACGTTAAAAACATGTGCAAGCGTAGCAACATATTCTCTTACCGTAGCATGCCAAAGACGTTATTAGCCCCACCTCACCCCACCCCATCTCTAACATAGCATCATGTAGGTGTGCAAGTGCCAAGGGACATTATTAGCACCACCCCACCCCACCCCATCTCTAACATAGCATCATGTAGGTGTGCAAGTGCCAAGGGACATTATTAGCCCCACCCCACCCCACCCCATCTCTAACATAGCATCATGTAGGATCATGTCGGTGTGCAAGTGCCAAGGGACGTTAGCCCCTCCTCACCCCACCCCGCCGTACCATGACCGAATCCTTCCTTGCACAACATCAAAGTATACTATTCTATTATAGCAAAAATTGGCAACCCTTCTGGGGCGGCGAGTCAGCCAAAGCCAAAAACAACTCAGTGAAGAAGCGGATGTTAAAAGACTTGGCTTAGGAATGGTTAGCTCAACAAAGAAGTCGTTCCTTCTTCGCGCAGTCATTGACGCACTCATGCATTGGTTCGTTCATTGATTCGCTCGTTCTCTGATTGGTTCATCCCTTCATTGATTCGTTTATTGATTCACTCATTCACTCACTACTTTACTTGCTAATTAATTGGTCGATTGATTGTCATTCGTTCGTTCGATCGTGCGTGCGTTCGTTCATTCACTCACTCACTCACTCACTCACCCACCCACCCAGCCACCCAGCCACCCACACACTCACTCAACAACTCAACAACTCACTCGTTGGATTGCTTGACTCATTCGTTGACTTCTGGGTTGGTTGATCCCTTCATTGTTTCAGTCATTGACTCATTCATTGGTTCATCCTTTGGTTCACTCATTGATTCATTGATCGGTTCGTTGGTTGCTGCACTGTTCTTTCATTCACTCAGCCATTCGTGCACTGATTCTGTCATGTCATTGATTTCATGTCATTTCATTGGCATCTCAGCAACCATTTGCTCATTCGTTGATCCATCTCACAGCCTCAATCTCTGGCTGTGTCTGCATCTCACAGGCATTCTTTTTGGCCATTGTTTTCTCATATATTTCGAAACTTCCGCCCCGGCACGGCCGGGCATCATCTGGTATCAGATGATCTTATCACTTGTCACACACTTGCCACCCCAGAGAAAGTTGCTTAAGAAGCCCTCACAACAGATCAACTGGTAATTACCGTGCGGATGCGGTTCATATCCTGAGATAGGAGATGTGAAGTTGAAAACCAAGTGCCAAGCAGGTCAAGTAGGTCAAGCAGGTCAGCTAGCTCATCCTCAATTTCGATAGTCTTCAATCAAGGCGCTAAACGGTAGGAGGTCTTTCGTTAAGGAGGAGTTGCCACGGAAGTGCACGGTGAGATCCCATGGAACTGGCACCTGAGCAATTAAAGGTAGTTGGATGCAGGGCTTCAAAGCAATACTCGCACCGACATTCTGGCAGTTTGAAGAATATCTTGGGACAATCAGTTAAATTCAACAGTACCAAACATACCCAGTTGATAAACGTACATGTACCGTACCTATGAGAATTTTGCATAAGATCTTTCGTGCGTTGCAGTGAGACCCAAAGAGTGGACACAGTCCGTCACAGTTCCAACCTCCATGCCGACCACTGAATCGCATAGTACGCCCACAGGGAAGTGCCACTTCAAGGCCTCAAAGGTTCAATCCACTAAAGCGAACCATTGTTTTATGCATCTCCGACCTGGGCAATTTGTCCAATTTGTACGCTTCTTTTGGATGCCATAATGTCGCCATGCCCTTCATCCTTTTTTGCACACACCTATGCGCAGCAGTTTCAATGACCAGAATCCACCAAATGACCTTTGCATGTTGTTTTTTTTGGTTGCACTACTATGCACTATGTTGCACTACCCCGCTCTTCTGCCCTGTACATGCCCTTGCCAACCATGGCGTATCAAGGCCATGAAGCAATGTTGTTGTAGTCGAACCACAGCTCATATGGCTGCCCCATTCTTGAAATCGACTTCTTGAAGTGCTCCAGAACGTCATGGAAGAGAAAGGGAAGATATGCCACCCGTGGCACCAAGCTGAACAATGGATCGGGCTCGTAAAGTGATGCTACCTGCATCAGGAACCGGTAAAACATGACAGGGAAGGACGAACAATTCGAAAAAACCGAGAATTTTCAGAAAATCAGAAAAAGGGCTGATCATTCGCATCACACTTTGGGTGGCATTGCACAAAGGAACAATTGTTTTGCATGGCACCTCGTCTGGCGCAAGTCGAATCCGCAACAGCAGCTGACCGCCGCATAGCTGTCTGCGGGTTTCTTGTGACTCCACAAGCCTGGAAACGATATACTGTAAACATTCTGTAAACATCAAATGATCAAACATGACCAAACCTTCGAAACCTTGCATTCACACAGGTTCTTGGAATGTTCTGGAATTGCAACTTATCGCAACCCAGTCTTGGACTCGGCGGTTTGGACCTTCTTTCGTGGCACCATTATGGTAGTGGCGTTCGTATGTTCAAAGAAAAGCCATTAAGAATACCCCGCGTTTTTGGAATGTGTCTAGTCTAGAGTTTAGAATAGTTTAGAATAGTTATAAATGACATGAATGAAGTACTGAAGCCAGCATTGCAGCCTTTCGATGCCAAAGTTAGTAGATGATTCGATGATAGTAGCAACTAAGCTTAGCACTCTTTCAAAGGCACAGCTCTGAGGCTGGAAACTTTGGCCATGGCTGAAAAATGCGTTCAAAGATGTTCAAGGCAATTGAACAAGTCAAGGGTCAAAAATGCTGCGCTATGCGGCCAGACTGCAGAAGTTCTTGTCTCTGCTTCAATCCATCTTAGGTGGAGGGTTCCGAAAGCCTACTGGCTCAACAGTGGCTGTTCAAATCGACACTCATGATCCACAACGTCTCCGCTTGAGCATCGAATCGTTTCAAACAACACACAAAACCAAGCCATGAACATTTAGTGATTCCAAGCTGAGGAGGTATCACCGCCATGAAATTTATCAGATCTTACACTAGCAACTCATGCAGCACCAAATTTTACAGTACCCTATCTTTACCAGTATCCGTTTCACACATTTTTCCAGAGTCTTCATTTGTGAGCCTACACTGGTGATTGTTGCCGGCCCATCACGTTGATTTGCACGTGTGAGCTCTCTGTTTCATTTCGAGACAAGGTCTCCAGGTCACTCGCGATCACTGCATCTTTTGCCATGGCCAGAGGAAAGAAATCAACATCTCGCGGAGCTTCTGGATGCATAAGCGACACCGGTCATGCATCAACTTGGTCACTCATCGGTTGTCGCTGAGTCTGGCGAGGCTCAGATGCAAGCTTTATCCTTCGCGGCTCAATGCTGCCAAAGGAAATCCGTGCTTAAACATGTTCTCCGGATCCCATTTCTTTTTGAGCTGTACCAACTGCGAAGTGTTGTGCCCAAAGCTGTGCCCTGCCAACAATTCATCTTCTGGTCCAAGGTCAGTCGCATAGCTGCCAAGCGCCTTAGGCAGCAATTTTTGTACAACTTGCATCACCCAACTCCTACAAGCAGCTGCAGACTTTTCCTCGGACCAAGCAGCTGAAATGACCAAGGACCACTCTGCCTGACGTGCTGTAAATAAAGAATCAATCCTTTTGGAGACCGCTCCACCCATGTGTTGAAAATGAAAGTAGCAATGCGGACTTGGGGCTGACCTTATACCCTCTACCACGTCCTTGCACATATCTGCAGTCTTTTCGAAAAATAGTGCACGGACGAAAAACTCCGCTTTGGAATGAAGCCCCTGTGCACCGTCCCATCAGGCTGCTCACACAAATATGGCTCCTGATCCATCAATTCCGCAACGCTTTGTTTCTCCAGAAGTTTCTCAAGCAGCAAGGTGGGTCCACCAGACAAATCCAAACGGGCAGAAACACCTCCAAAGTCGTAGGTGTAAATCCCCATGAGAATGCTTGAAGGCTCAAATGTCTTGTCATCCTTGAAATACCTACATTGTGTTCAGAACACACACACACACGGAGATACATGTGAACATGTACAATGAAAAAGCTACACACATGTGTATAAAGGTGCATAATAAAGACTGGTTACCTGACTGAATTATACAGGAAGTTTCAGACCGTGTAATTTGACGTTTTCAAGGATTGTGAAAGATGGCTTCAAGATGTTCGAAAATGTTCGAAGCAGTCAAAAGATGGCAAAAGCGTTCATTACTATGACTTTGCCGAAATACAAGCAGCAGTCAGCACTGCAGTCGACAGGAAGCTCCGCGGACCATGACAAGTATTTCTGAAGACAGCAGAATGATATCGCAGAATCTTCATCTTTTCCCTTTTGCAACTCGTAAACCTGTCTAAATGAATTACAATGTCGGAAGGGAGCCGCTTCCAAAGTGACTGATGTTACAACTCCAAAGTTTGGAGCACAGCCAACGGCGGCCCAAAAGAGTTCTTTAAGTTCAGGTTCTGGTGAATCTCGCGACAGGTTCACCACTTCAGCTTTAGCAGTGACCATCTGCAAGGAATGAATTGCATCCAAAGCAAGGCCCAGGCTTCTTGTGAGGTGCCCAACACCTCCTTGCAAAATCAGACCAAGACCAACTGTTGGTGCAGTCCCCAGAGGAACTGCAAGGCGACGCTCAACTGCTGCGATGGCAACATCTTTGAGGGTAACGCCAGCACCAATACGAAGCAAAACATCTGGATCTGCTTCATGCACCACTCCATCTATTTCCCTTTGCCTTTGCGAATCTTCTACAACTTTTTCAGCATCTACTTCTACAACTTGTTGAGCTTCTTTTTGAGCTTCTTGCACCCTTTCTGCCCTTTCTTTCAATGTTTGCACCCAACTGAAGTGGGACATCTCCAAGACCAAGTCTCCAGTTCTGCCGTAGCCGCTGTGATTTCCACCAACTACACTCACAGAACAGCCTGTCGTACTTGCATCTTGAAGACAGGCTACTACATCCTGGATTGACTTTGGCTTGACTATGACATGATGTGTTTGCAAGTCCAAGCTGAAAGTGGCTCCAGATACATCAGACGAATCGCGCACATATTGAGGATCTCTGGATGGCTCTCTTCCTTCTCTTCCGTCCTTTCCTCGCGCTTTGAGCTTTTCAGCAAGTAGGGATAGTCTTTCCGCATTCGACATTGCTCGAGTCTCAGGTTTCAGATAGGACCGTGGAACGTAATTTTCTTGCAACGTAGCGAGGGTATGGGCAGCCCAAGTGCATACTGTTGTTTGTTTTCGTACGAAGGTAGGGTCTAGAGGAATCTCTGCAACCTACCCTACTATTCTTTTTGGTGCAAGCTCTCCAGCACAACCTTTGCTTGGACCATTGGAGAGCCAAAAATTGCCAAAAATGCATAGGCTGCATGTTGGGATGCCAAAGAAATCAAAAAGATGCATGATGGGGCCATGCAAGAATGTATGGGGGACATTGGACATAGGCCTGAGATTTTTACGTTGCCTACTGTTGGGACGTTTACGAATGGTGGCATCTCAGAGTTTGACAAAGAAGTCTGTAACCCTGCTGAGTTGTTTTAGCCCAAAGCATCTTCACTTCGTTTGGCGCGATGTAACACATCGAATGATTCTCATGACGATGTTGTTCCATCTCAAGATCTTGAAAGTTGGAGATGACCTCTATTCACGCCAGGAAAAGAGTCACTTGAACACATGCCTTGCTCAGGAAATCGGACTTATACACTTATACAATCTTAATCAATCTTATACATGTGTTTTCTTCTAGAAGTCCAAACGTTACTGTGGAGGTCTAAGATTCCGGGACATGTAGATGTGTGGGGCGTGGATCAAGTTCAACGTCTGTTGCAGCTTCGCTGGAACAGTGCAACAGCATCCAGCGATGACAGCGAACTTCGAACGTGGTGATATCATGTGATATCTGGTGTATTTCTTTGAAAGTCTTTTTGTCACAAAATGTCACGAAGATTGGCCCCTTGGATCCATTGAGCATTGTGTCCTATCTTTACTATGCTTTGCTGCCTCGGGATCACTGACCAAGTCCTACGCCTTGACATTCAGGTGCCAATCCTCATACGGAGCTCAGTGAAAACCTGCACAGCTCTGTGTCCAAACCTCTTCCAGTGGTGCAGCTTGAAGCTTAACATACAGTAGCTCAACATAACTGAACTCCAAACCTGTCGAATCGAACGTACTAGTTGAACAAGGTTTCAAACATATGTTGAACAAATTGTTGAAAACAATTTCGAAATGTCAAGAGCAGCGCTCGCATGACATCATGAACTATGAACTGGAATCTACTGCTTCATTGCAACTCTTAAAACTGCTGAACTGCGTCAACATAATTCATGAAATGCTGGACAGATGCCACGAATTCCGCAAGACAACTTTGTTGTTCCAATGTTCATCTCAAACCATTCCATATGCCTGCTATCACACAAGACACCATACTTTGCACGTGAGATAAGCAAGCATTTGAGTCATCAAAGCCTTCATTGCTGCTACGACGCAGTCTTGAAGGGTCATGGAACGAACACCACCCTGACGAAATTGAGCTGGGCTGGCAGAGTTCTGAGTTCAAGAGAAGGAGCCTCTGAGAGTTCAAAACGCTCCAAATGCTCAACATATCTCAAAGTTAATGAAAACATCTGACAATTATAAACTTCAAAAAATGTCAAAGTGAAGCTACGCCTTTACGGCTGGCTAGGCAAAGGCTTTTGAGGGATGCTGCTCTTGTTTGACTACTTCCTCGATTCTGCTGCACAAGAAAGCCTGAAAGTGGATGTGCTTGATGTGTTCCATGACACCAACCTTCATCTCTGCACTTTCGAAAAACACGATTGGCCAGTGGAACAGCTTTGGCCACTTCATCTGTTCTTCAACGATCTTCAACGTCTTACAAATTTCAATCGCAACGACACAGCACCGTCTGATACCGCAGCAGCCTTTCAGAATATACAACTGGTGAGGCAGCAAAAGAACGCCAAACTCTCTGCAGAAATTGTTGAGAGATGTCAAGAGCCCCCGGACCAAACCATTGGGCCCTGCAAGTCCACGAACACACAGGGCAGGCAGACTCGCCTCGCATCCGAAATATTACGAAGCTCTTGAATGTTTTGGCTTCAAGAGCATAAACAGCACACGAGCCAACACGACAGGAACGGAAAACAAAAGGGACTGCGGGCAATAGAAAAGATGAATCCTTGTTGTGGATACAGATTGATATTGTGTAAGCTAAATAGTCAGTGAAAGAATTCAGCTCTTGGAACGTGACTTCTACCGTTGATTCACGGCTGATTTCAGGAGCTAAAAGTTCATAAGTGTTCATAAAGACTTAGGCTGGAGGCACCACATATGAAAGGGAGGAGCAACTGGGTCTTGAATTGGTGCTACAGGAGGCAAAAGCAGGCATGAGGCTGTGGTAGCTTGATGCAACAAGGTGCAACGAGATGCACCAAGATGCCCAACCCCCACTAACCCACCTCTCATTTGACCAAATGCGTTTACACGAAAGCGTCCTGACTCTCATGAAGCGCCACGTCTGCCGCGCAAAAAATACATTTCTTGCCAGCAAATGCCACACCTACCTCACACAAGCGCGGTCATTCTCACGAAGTGCCATGCATGCCACACAAAGCGCCGGCCCAAGGCACAGCAAGATGCAACAAGGCTAGATATGCATTTCGTTGCATCTCCGTGCATGCCCGGTGCGGCATTACGGCCCAGAGAAGGACAGTCGCGACAGAAAGATACAGAAAGGGAACTAAGCAACAATACATCATTACATCACACAATTATGTAAGTTTGTGCATACATACATACCATACCATACGATAGCATTACATTGCATTGTATTGCATTGCATGACATGACATGACATGACATGACATGACATTACATTACATTACGTACGTACCTAGATTACATATCATTACATTACATTACATTACATTACATATCATTACATTACATTACATTAGATTACATTACACTAAACTACACTAGATTACGTACGTACCTACATACATTACATTACATTTACATTTACATTTGCAGTATATACATTTACATTACATTTACATTACATTACATTACATTACATTACATATCGTTACATTACATTACATTAGATTATGTGCCTACATCCATCCATCCATCCATCCATCCATCCATCCATCCAACCATCCAACCATCCAACCATCCAACCATCCAACCATCCAACCATCCAACCATCCAACCATCCAACCATCCAACCAACCAACCAACCATCCATCCATCCATCCATCGAACCAACCATCCATATGCATGCATGCATGCACGCACGCACGCATGCATCCATGCCGCATGCATCCATGCCGCATGCATGCACGCCTGCTTACCTGTAAACCTGCATACCTGAATTCTTACTTACTTATATACTTACTTACTTACTTATATATATATACTTACATACTTATATACTTACATACCTACATTCACCTACATTCACCTACATTCACCTACATTTACCTACATTTTCCTACATTTACCTACGTTTACCTACAATTACCTACATTTACCTACATTTACCTACATTTACCTACATTTACCTACATTTACCTACATTTACCTACATTTACCTACATTCACCTACGTTTACCTACCTTTACCTACATTTACCTACGTTTACCTACATTTACCTACATTCACCTACATTTACCTACATTTACCTACGTACATTTACCTACATACCTCCATTAGTTTCATACCTTTATTCTTTATACCTCCATACCTTCATACCTACCACCTACCTACCTACCTACCTTCCTACCTTTCTACCTTCCTACCTGCCTACCTAGTGTACCTACCTGCTGTACGTACCTATCTACCTACCCACCCACCTATATACCTACCTACAAACCTACGTACCTACGTATCTCCGTACCTATGTACCTGCGTACCTACGTACTTGCCTACATTATAATATCACATAACATAACATTACATTACATTGCATTACATTCCATTGCCTCGCCTTACCTTACCTACCCACATACCCACATACCCACATACCCACATACCCACATACCTCCATACCTACATACCTACATACATTCATACATTCATGCATTCATGCATTCCTTACATTCATATTAACATCGTAGAAGAAGTCTTCCAGCCTGTTTGTGAAGAACATGAAATGTCTTCCGTAGATGAAGCGATGTACAAATCACATTCACTACCAAGATCTTCAGAGGCAAACAAAGCCGGCCGAAAGTCAAAGATCGAATCAGTAGAACCTGTCTTTCATGATTTTTCAAAGTCAATCAATGCCTCCACACTCTTCAAGTCAATGAAGGCCCACTGCGTGTCCTGGCAAAAGGAGGCTCTGACTTCATGACAGACCACATCTCGCGACTCGTCGACTTCAATAAATTTCAGTGATACACACGTCTCTTGCTTGTTGTTTCTTGCGTCCTCGTCTTGTCCTGTCTTTCTCTTGCTTCTCTCACACTCACCTTCTGCACTCGTTCATTTTGGTTTTTTGAATGCCTCTCTCTCTCTCTCTCTGTCTCTCTGTCTCTCTCTCTCTCGAGAGAGAGAGAGGGAGAATCTGTGTCAGATCTCCGTTCTCTTGATCTTGCCTTGCCAACAATTCTTTCTGAACATCAGAACTCTAAGAAGAGCTGGACAGGACAGAATCGCTCCAAAAAGGCGATTGTATAGTATTGAGTCGAAGAATTCATTACCTGATTGCGATGAGCCGCACAACATGTTTAGCACGGAACCAATTTTGATGTTTTGGCCAGGTGCACAGCGGTTGCGTATATATATATAATTATATATATATAATTATATATATATATATGTATCTGTCAATCTCTGTCATATTCTCAACATATTCGTTTATCATATATTCGTGTAAATATATATTTGTTTATGTCTGTTTTTCGTTGTCAGTTTTATGTCCTCTGTTCTCTGCTCAAGCTTTGGGTCTTTCATCCAGGCATCAAACTCCTAGCGCAGAGAAAGATGTGGAAAGTAAAGGAGCGCTGACGCAAATCCAAAAAATCCGACGATATCCTACGTGTAGTTGCTACGTGTAGGGGTCAAATGGAGTCAAAGCTTGATAATGTGCAGCCTGGTTGGAGACCACTTCATCGCAGTCCCTGTCGATAGCGTTGAAGGCGCAAATGATGTACGGCAGCAACCTGCTGGGACCGAAAAAGAACGAGGCATGACAAACACTATCAAATACTAGAAGTATACTAGAAGTATACGTAGCTTTTTAACGCTGTTTATGAGCTGTTCAACTTCTCCGAGGTTTGTCGATCAGCGCTCCCAGCAGCACTTTGTAAAAGAGTCCAGCTCTGGAGTGAAGCTCCACCCCAAGCGCTCCTGCAAAAACAAGTGTGAAAGCCATTGAAAGCCATTCAAAGCCTGATTATCATTGATTATCAGGGCCTGCCATTCAGCGAATAGGTTCAATCGTTTCAATATGTTCAATATATTGGGCAAGCAGTTGGGAAGATGGAAGATTGCACTTCGCCTTTTAAGCTATCAAAAATAACGAGTGGTTCTCTTGAATGGACTTGTGAAGTAAGAAAAATCTCAACCGAAGACTCCATCCTCAGCAGGTTGAGAGGCTGCCAAGAAGGCGATTACTGCCTGACAGTGGAGAAGCCAATGTGCTTGTTGTACTCAATTCTCCACATCTGTCCACATGATTTCTATATTGCGTTGACGCGCAATTGGACAACGGAGCTTCAATCTGGCCTCTGCCTGTTTCTGGGGCAAGCGTCCGTATGGGTCACGACGCAATGTGGCAAGTGCTTTGCAGAACTCCTGCTCAAGCTGCGCAGAGTACATCGGATCGCCAAACGGCTTACAAACCGATATACTCAGACATCCAAATCTCAGTGAATCGGATACAATTTCATGCAATTTCGCTACGTTTTCAGTCCGCGTTAAGAGCTGGCTTGTACGTGGTGTCCATGGCGGGGATCTTGTTGCATGCCGCAGCTTGTTGCAAGGTTTTGTGCAACTTCGAGTGTGCAATCGGCCAAGGTTTCTTGACTGACAAGAGACGAAACAAATCTTGAGACTCACAAAATGGAAACACGCGAAGTGTCGTATAAACCAATCTAGACAGTTCAGCATATTCTGCGATTCACCACTCGCTCCAGAGCCCGAAACAGCTTGTGTCGTCCCGAGTTTCACGTTTCCCGCTGCATTAGCAGTGGAGAGTAACTCTCCCCAGGAATTCTCAAGACAGCTTGCCATCCTGTGCCTCTCGATGCAAGTTCATGTGTTGTAGCAGCGATAACTCCAGAAACAAAATGCAGCATGGGCAGCGTCGTTTCATGCAGTTTCAGCTGAGGTGTACTGCGCGAATGTTCCAACCAAAAGCTATGGTGTTGCACCGCTTTCGCAGACTTCTATCTTACTGTATCTCTCTCTCTCTCTATCTCTTCCTTTCTCTCTCATGGGCCCACACACGTGCACCCAACAATGGATAAGGAGGAAACCCCACTGGAGCGAGGTACCCGAGGGGCCAAAACCACAAAAGACTACTTGAAGACCACTCCAAGATCACCAGCACGCACGAAGCGAAACGAAACCGACCCGTCAGGCAGAGGAGAAGCGATCAACAAGCACAACGAGAAACCTTGGTTGTGCCGCTATGCCTGCATATATTGTTATCCTGTATTAATTGACCAAGAACCTTCCGGACATAAGTGTTGTGACACTTCTACGATCTTCTAAGCCGTCTCCGTTTCCACGATTGAGATGCACAAGTACTAGTCGCCCAGAAAAACGTCAAAAGGATCCAAAGCGAAGGAAACCTGTCTGCAACAACTACCAGAAGTACCTATTTGGCCCGTGTCATGCATCGTTCATGCACTCAGCGAGTGCAGCGTCCCGCTCGAACTGGACTACTGTAAGATATTGTAAGATACTGTAAGTTTGTTGTCCTTCGCAAGGCAAATGAAACGAAGGTGATCGAATGGCATGGCATCCGAATGTCTCATCGTTTCCTGAATCAACATATTGGCATCCATGAGCGTACAGTGCGAGAGAACCTCCAGGCACTTCAAACGTCGCAACCACACTGCTGGGGCACACACACACACATGCACAGCAAAAAATCAGGGCACACACAGAAAAAACCCTCTGCAATGTCAGCCTAAGCAATCCCGAGACCTCGAAACTATTCCATGCGTTCCCATTACTTTTTCCGCCACATACATATCGTTTTTCATGTGCACTGTACAGCGTCGCCATGGAGTTGGACGTTGGGCATCATATTCCAGTCCGATCCACAGTCCAAAGAGCATTCCGGAGCATTCCAGCTTTACACTTGCAAGTTGCAGACATTGGGCCGTGCAACGAACATTCAAACAATCAAAATGATCTAAACTGTCTGCACATGTTTTGTCAAATTTCCTTGAGATTCAAGTCCGGCCGAGAGCGGCCTGAAATTTCTGCGACTCAGTGGCCCAGAAGCTTCCAAATGAACAAGTGTGAAAATATGAGAAAACTGTGAAGATACCGTCAAGATGCCGTGAAGCAAAACTTAGTTTCGCAAATATGTTTGCAAGCCTTGACAGCTTGTGAAAAGATTGAATTGTGGCATCTGACTGTGTCATAAATACATACGTCACAATAAGTCACGGGACTTGTCAATGTTGAAGCAGGCCGGGCAAAACTAAGATGAATTCCTTGGCAAATCCTGCATTTGCAGGGTTGCTGCCAACACCCCAGATACAGAAGCAACTGGGTACATACATAAAGTGTAGAATCGAATGAATTAGAATCAGAATGATCTATTTTCCTCCGTGTGGCTATCATTCACTTCCATTTACTTCCAATGGGTTGGAGCAACCCTAATTTGGCAGACACGAATAAGCAATAACATTGCTATTTATTGCTGTTTGTGCCTGACACTCTGCAAAGTCAGAAGCATCCCAGCTTGACGTACCTCCCGATGAACAGCTCTGGCTTTTTGCAGCTGTTTTTGCAGCTCTTTGTGTTCCAAGCATAAGAAGTTTGAAGCGGAGGAAGTGTGCTCTGTGCCTTCATAGCCCACTGTTGCCTTGAGATGGGACTTGTCGGAAGTTGCCTTCCGCGGATTTGTCGGGAAAAGTCCCCATGTGGGTTCTGCATCTCCAAGATCATTTTGGCCAGGCATTTCCCAAGGACGACAGAGCCAATCTGCGAGAAGTGCAAACCATCACAATCCCACAACATCTTGTCGTCAGGCCTCAACAAGTCAGCCGGATCAAAGAATGTCATCATGTGATAGTTCAGCTTCGCGTCACGCGCAAACTTGGAGAATAGGTTTTTCATTTGTTTCAAGAGTTGTTCACGGTCTCTGCACCAAAGTTCACTTCCACATGGTGCAGGTGGCATAGCAATTGCCAATGTTGGAACTCCGACTGCATGGCAAGCAGTATGAAGCTGAAGGATATTTGTGGCCGCCGCACATCGCTTTGAAGGGTACGGCAGGTCGTTCGTGCCAGCCATAAGAATGGCTAAATCAAATGGGCCATCTTCTCTGAGAACTCTGGAAATGCCCTTCCAAGAAATGCCGCAAACGTCAACCAGAGTAGAATTGGTATTCGTGGCCATATCCTCCGCAGATTTCCCGCTCAGACCACAAACAACCACCTCACCTCAGTTTAAAACACGGACTTGGCAACAGAATATGTGTGCAAAAGAGTGTATTTCAATTTGAAGATAACTAGGTACTCTTACATGTATTCTCGGTAGTTTTTACATTTGTTGCATTAGTTACACTCATGTTGTAATGTGTTGTAATCATCATGCACCTCCTGGGTGAAGGTCTGCTTTCTCTTCTGTACCTTTCCAACTCGCTCCGTTTGCTGCCGTGTCACACCTTCCACCATATGCTGCCAGTTCGTCTGCCAACATGCGGCCATATGGCTGAAACCAGCGTCCCCCGTCATAGAAGCCTGCAAAATCCGTCAAGATTCTTTGCGGGCTAAATGCAGCAACATAAATGCGCAGAGCTGAATATCAAAACTCACTTCAAAGACATGAAACGCATTGAGATGCACTGTTCAAAGGTTCTAGTTCTTTCCATTCTTCGCAAACCTATTGTATTGCAGCCAAACCAACTCTGCCTGCTGTCAAGCTGTCACCATAACAAAGGATTCGACGCCGATTTCCTCCAGAAACACCGGAGGAGAAGAGCATTGAAATCCTCGAGCAACGGACATTTATTGCATGTCATTGACAGTGTAATTACATGTCACTGCACCGCATGTAAATTACTGCATTTGTTTGAATCTCATTGAACGTCCACAATCTTTTGCATCGGAATCCAAATCCCAGATCTGTCTGTCAATCGAAGAGCTATCTATCAAAAAGATTCAAAAAATGACTTTCTTTTGTCAGTTTCTGTTCCTTCTTTCATTCCTCCCTCGCTTATTCTTCGATTGGTTTCGCTGCTGAAGGCGGTCAGAGGGCACTATGGCAAAGGACATCAAAGGACAGGGGCCGCATTCGCCCCTACCCCAAATGGCACGGTATGTGCATGAGTCACACAAACTTGTCATCGGTCGATGAACGAGTTCACAAGTGAACCGGTCCGCACATGAAATTGGTGCCTGACTACATAGTAAGTCAAAGAAGTGAGTGAGCGTCATTGTCGGCAAACAAGTTGTGAGCTGGATGAAAAGAATAGAATGAATGAAGAAACTATGATGGGACAAAGGAACTACTCACCTAATTGACATGCATTAGGAGCGAAGAGAAGAAAAAGGGTAGCTGACAGAAGGAACCAATCAGTAAGCGTCTAATTCCGTCTCAGCCGCGAGGTATGTCTGGGTACGCTGGCAAGCTGCAAACCTGAGTTGATGCTCTTGTTATCTTTATGCGCTGTTGTTTTTACTATGAATATCCATATGTAATGTCAACCTGATAATCTGTGTTTTTTGCATTTTTTGGGTCAGGTATGTTCACGGTCCCTTTTTCTTTGAAGGCAACATTGCACTTTGTTGCAAGAATATTGTTATTTTTTGAATAAGATGCTGCGTAATTTGCAAACAACTGTTTCCTTAAAGGGACGCTTTGCTTTTTAAAGTACGTGCACTCCAGAACTTTGGCACCTGGTCAGTGTTTCTTCAGCGTCGTTAGAGCGTCGTTTGAGCGACGTTTGGGCGACGTTTGAGCTCATTGCTTTTGTGTTTTGCATGGTTCTTCTTGTTTGCGATCCTATAGACTGATATCTTGTAAGGAAGGCGTTCCATCGGGCGTCGCGTTTCCAAAGAAGCAGCACGGGTTTCAGGCTGGCTTTTGCTTGGGCGTTCTTCTGCTTTGAGGTGTCACAAAGGCAGTTTCGGGTGGCAACTGAGGAACAGCAGTTCTCGGTCAGAATGTTTGTGTTGTGTTTGGCCCATGGCCTCTAACAGTCAGTAAAAGAGTTTGTTTTTTAAGCCGATTCCCCAATTGGTGGTCAGTTCCCCGCCAGGTTCATAGCGGCAGATGTCGATGTCGGCGGCGGCACATGATGATTCAAGACATGCGCTATTGCTGTTTGGGGTCTATGCTGGTGTATTTTCTTCTGTACAAGGGGCGGTGTTCATTGGAAAAATGCAGTACGCTGAAAAAGATGCGTTTTTTTCCTCCAGTACTGTTCGTTCTAAGGACGCACAATTGAGTTCCCCAAAACTTACGAGGCAAAAAAATCGACCAAGAACTGCGGCTCCTTTCTCAATCCCCACCTGACACTTCAATGGAAGGCTCAAGGAGCTTGTAGGAGCTTGGGAAAACCAGCAGTCATGTGCTAGTAAGCTTTCAAAGCTTCAACCTGTTCATTCTTCTCAAGAAATACATAGCCAACTTTCAGGCTCTCAGCCTGAGTGGCCAACAACTTTTGGCAAATGCCATGAAGAACCTGGCCGAACATTTGCTTGCAGATAGAATGCCTTTCTTACGAGATATTAGTCTAGAGGGATCACAATCAAGAAGAACCATGCAAAACACAAAAGCAATGAGCTCAAGCGTCGCTCAAACGACGCTGAAACGAAAGAAACACTGACCAGGTGCCAAAGTTCTGGTCCCTTCAAAATGAATCAAAACCAGGAAATCATGATGGCAAAGGGTCTCTTTAGGGCCGAACCTGTGGACCGGAACCAGCAAAGCAAAGCCAAACATGATGGCAAAGGGTCGCTTAAGCGCCGAAACCTTTTTACCGGAACCAGGAAATCATGATGGCAAAGGGTCGCTTAAGCGCCGGAACCTTTACCGGAACCCAAGACATCAAAGGGTCTCTTTAGCGCCGGAACCCGTGGACCGGAACCAGCAAACACAGCCAATAATCATGATGGCAAAGGGTCTCTTAAGCGCCGGAACCTTTACCGGAACCAGGAAATCATGATGGAAAAGGGTCTCTTATAAGCGCCGGAACCTGTACCGGAACCCGGGAAATCATGATGGCAAAGGGTCGCTTAAGCGCCGGAACCTTTACCGGAACCCAAGACATCAAAGGGTCTCTTTAGCGCCGGAACCCGTGGACCGGAACCAGCAAACACAGCCAATAATCATGATGGCAAAGGGTCTCTTAAGCGCCGGAACCTTTACCGGAACCAGGAAATCATGATGGAAAAGGGTCTCTTATAAGCGCCGGAACCTGTACCGGAACCCGGGAAATCATGATGGCAAAGGGTCGCTTAAGCGCCGGAACCTTTACCGGAACCCAAGACATCAAAGGGTCTCTTTAGCGCCGGAACCCGTGGACCGGAACCAGCAAACACAGCCAATAATCATGATGGCAAAGGGTCTCTTAAGCGCCGGAACCTTTACCGGAACCAGGAAATCATGACGGAAAAGGGTCTCTTATAAGCGCCGGAACCTGTACCGGAACCCGGGAAATCATGATGGCAAAAAGTCTCTTTAGCGCCGGAACCTTTACCAGAACCTTTACCGGAACCCAAGGAATATGATGGCAAAGGGTCGCTTGAGCGCCGGAACCTTTACCGGAACCCAAGCAATCATGATGGCAAAGGGTCTCTTTAGCGCCGGAACCAGTAGACCGGAACCAGCCAATCACAGCCAATCATGATGGCTCTGGCAAAGGGTCTCTTAAGCGCCGGAACCCTTACCGGAACCAGGAAATCATGATGGCAAAGGGCCTCTTTACCGCCGGAACCTTTAACGGAACCCAAGAAATCATGATGGCAAAGGGTCTCTTTAGCGCCGGAACCTTTACCGGAACCCAAGAAATCATGATGGCAAAGGGTCTCTGAAGCGCCTGAACCTTTACCGGAACCAGGAAATCAAGATGACAAAGGGCCTCTTTACCGCCGGAACCTTTACCGGAACCCAAGAATTCATCATGGCAAAGGGTCTCTTTAGCGCCGGAACCTCTATCACACAGGATCTGAATCATGATGGCACAGAGCCTGTTTCTAGCAAGAATTTAGAACCCCATTCAGCTCGAGACTGTTTGGGGAAATATTTTCTTTGAAACACTACTTACTATCTATCTATCTATCTATCTATCTATCTATCTATATACGTATATATATATATATATATGTATGTAGGGATACCACCCTTCTGGAAAGACCCAACAAAAGTTCTAAAGTATTGCCAGGACATGCCAGGACCACAAAAACAGATTGAACGAGACTAAGACCTCTTGGTGGTGTGAACGCTCGCAAATAAGGTGGCGGGGTTGTATTTGAGGTCTGTCCCCGGTAATACGGTGCATGCAGTATGCAAAACGCATCAAATCAAACGTGCGGGGATCCTTGGCTGCAAAAATGGTTGTACAAGTAGTTTCAAGACACGGCCCCGATTTCTGATTATTTTGTTCATTTTTTACACAGATCTTTTCAACGTAATTTTTATCTTATATCTTTTGCAGACAGCAACGCTGCCGGCTGCTTAAAAAAGTACCTTTAAAAAAGGCCCGCGGCAGGCACTGATTTTGAGTGTTTGGACCGTCGCCAAAAAAACATTGATTCCATCAATCTGAAAGCCATTCAAAAATAGACACTACACATATGCATTGATGATTGAAATATATAGTTTTCAAAAAGAAATAATAATTTAAGTGGTTTAATGTTTATTTGTTCTCCTTGTTTTTTTCTTTATATTTTATGTTTATGTTTGGAATGCTATGATTTTTTCGATTTTGCTTTATGTTTTTGATGTTGTTTTACTTTGTTTTTTCATTTCTTTATTATTTTTTATCATTACCACAAAAATGAAGTTCTATTCAACAATAAAGAAGGTAAAATAACTTTAAACATCATACATGTAAAAACGAAGACCAGGAAGAAATAAGTGGCATGAACATAGTTAAACATGTTTTCACACAATAGCGAACAGAGTTGAAGAATGTAGATTGTTTCTCGAATGGCTGCTCGCCAGCAGCTGACCATGGTCATGCCCAACACCAACAGCTGCTGCTATGGAGCAAGTCCAGTAAGCTGTTGCAAGATGTTGTAAATATGTGTTTTGGATGATTTCTTTCGGTGCCTGCATTTGTTTCTTTATGGCTCCTGTTGTTTTCTGTACATACTTTATCTTGACCTATGCTGTGAAAATCTATGTACTAGTTTGGCACCCAAATTCTTCACAAAATGAGTCATGTGGATAGCTGCAGTTACGTAATTCAATACAATTTGCTCAAAACCCTGTCAAACTGGATTTCAATCCGAAACAGTTGGTTTGCAAATATCCTAAACCTTATTTCCGTGATAATTCCCTTATTTCCTTGAATTAGGAAAGTTTACACTTGGTGGGGGCACCATTTAACTATATATATATACATACCTGGATATATATCTAATACATATGGATATAGATCTACCAGCATCTATCTATATCGTTAAATGTGTAATTATAAATAATTATTTATATATATATATATAGTTTTTTATTTAAGTATGCATATATATATATATATATACATCATTATAAATATAAAATAATAAATATATAATTACGATATATAATATATGATACAATTGTATCCAGGACCCAGGATTATCGAAGGAAGTTTAGAAGTCAAACTTCCGACAATATGGACAGATGAAAAGCAGAGCAGGGAAGAGGCAGAGAGAAGAGAAAGATCAGAAGAAAGAAGAGTAGAAGAGAAAGAGTAAGAAGAAAGAAGATGCAGATGCGCGAAAAGGTAGGAAAGTCGCGAAACACTGTGTTTTTTCCAATGATTTGGGGCTCCGGAGGGTC